TTAACAGCCATTATAATGACAATTTTTGCCTTTGAAATAACGGTGAAAATAATGCCAGATTATAGGCGATGTCTGAAAAATTGTCATTTTAAGGACACCATTAAATGGCATTTTCATCCATTTATTAGACCGCGTTAACTAATGCCAAATAAATGTGGTCGTTAATTGTCCGTTGTTTCTCCATTTCAAAATGGCAAAAAACTGGTCATAAAATGGCATTTAACAGCCAGTTTATGGTCGCCAAGTCATTTACCGTTTTATTCTGCCGTCATGAATAGTATAAGTCAGTAATTTACAGTGTTTCTCTTCTTCAATTATACGAGCCATAGAAACTTGCCTCGAAGAAGTGGTCTGTGGTTCTTGACTCGATGCAGGCGATAGTACGTCAGATTCACAAGATATTTTTTTGACATTTTCTAACGGTCTAACAATTGATATTTAAATGTCAAAAAATTTTGACCAGCAGGGTTACTGGCGGCAGTTAAATGCCTATTATTTGATCATTTTTTGACATTTAAAAAAATGCGAAATAAATGCATTTAAACGTTCCCAGTTATAATGACAAAAAACAACCTAAAAACGGGGTCAAATGTCATAAAAATGCCAATTAAATGCTTATTAACAGCGTATTAAATGGCATTTAATTGGCAATTAATTACACCGTTTTCGATGTCCTGGGTATGGATACGCTTTTATACTATACGAAATGAAATACAGTCGATAGTAATTGTCAGTAAGATATATATATATCCAAATTGACGGACATAAGACTGTCACTAGTGTATTTCTATCGTCAAAAAGAAAACAACCATAATTTTTCGCCGAAATGGTCTTGTTGAATGAAAAAGATGAGGGAGAAGACGAATATTTGGACATTTGCTAACATTTGCCAACAATTGCCAAGAAGTGAAAGAAAAGGGAAGATATCTTATTTGATACATCTCTAATGTATGTTTTATATATGTACCGTACATTGCAATGTGACACACACACTATGTATAACGTGAATAAGAAAAGAAAATCGCTATTTGTCGCAGCTCTATTGTATAACATATATCTCACGAATAACGACAATTCTTTGTTCTTTTTTGACGCATATATCGTCTATCGGCGCATCACTAACTACGTTAAGATTAGATAGATCCTAGTTGTATATTTTGATTTGAAAATGTCCTCGGATGGCAAGGGGAAAAAAGCTGATTTTGGAGCTCCTTCGATTTCGACCGATTATGAGTGATTTTAATCGATCTTGGACCACCGAAATTGATTTTGGTCGCAAGAATCGATTTTCAGCCATTTTTGTACCCAAAATCAGCTTTAACGTTTATACCGAGGGAGAAAGGCTGATTTTAGGTACCAAAATGACTGAAAATCGATTCTTGCGTAATCGATTTTGGACCACAAAATCGCTTCAAATCGATCACCGTGGCCCAGAACCGATTAAAATCACTCATAATCGGTCAAAATCGAAAGAGCTCCAAATTCAGCAAATATTCAGTATATACTTTTCCAGTATGACATTGAAGACTCGACGCCATTTTCTTTTTAAATAAACTGTGAATAAAGTATGAAAGTTTAAAGTATTGAATATCGGTATGTATGAAATATATATGTTATGCACTTAATGTCTCTTTTACGACACTTAAACGAGGCCTCGACAGTCAGAGTCTTATTTTTCATTTTTTTAAAATACAGTCATACGTCAATGTGTAGGTATCAGTCTATCGCTTTCATTTCAGAGAACGCAAGGAAAGATGATAAAATAGATACAAATACAGAAAAAAGATGAGAAATAAAGAATGTACTTCGTACTATATGTAGTCAATATCGTTGCTTAGCTTCTTGGCTATGATAATTTCAATGCAGGATTTTTACAAGTGAAAATGCTCTGTAGTTTTGCTACACCTAGTTTTCTTCGAAGATGAACTCACACTCGCACATCCAAAAACATAAAGCACACTGTCTTGATGTGGCTTCGGTATATCGTATCTCATTTGGGATATAAAAATATATGCTGATAGGGCTATATAGCGAAGAGGATATATATTATAGCCAGAACGGGATATATATTCTGATTAGGATACATTTTTATATCCCGTCGGGCTACCGGACTGCTGGTTGTTCGAAGCAGAAAAATTGGACATTAATCCGAAAGAACTTCTAGCCGCGCTATTCGCCATAAGAGCCTTCGCATAAGGACTGAAAGAAAAACATATACATATTTTTATTGATACTACGAGTGCATTTGCCTACATTAATAATTTGGCTGGAATCATTCCTCCAAGTCAGATCTTTCGAATGCCGAAAATCCAAGTCTGTCAAAATTTATTGAAAAAATAGCAGAGTCCATTCGGTTTTTGGACAGACAGGAATACAATTATTTACTACTTTTTTTCTACGCTCGACTATTAACCGGTTGGCTACGGGAGTATCATATATGATACTTGAGTGTTAGCGGTTATATTTGTGACAACAACAAAATATTATTGAAAATATTATTGAAACGTTTTGGGTCAAATTGTATCTGAAAAATTAAACCCGTAGCCAACCGGTTAATATCCTACTTATTCATAAACGACTTTCTTAACATATTTGGACCTATTGATGATAAAACATGACTTTATACAAATAAAAATCATGTTAAAAATCATGTAACCTTTTTCGGCAAGGAAAAATTTATTTAAGACTTGGACAATATCAGATTTTTGTGCTCATTGAATGATGTGTAATTTAAGAAAATCAGTTGTGTGATAATGTCGCTACAATTAAAACAACAGAAAATACAGAATTCTTCAACTTTTGCAGAAAACTTATCGATACGTTGTTTTCCTCAACGATGAATAGTTTTCAGAGATTAGAAACTTGAATGGAACAGGCTTGGTGTAAGCAGGGACCCAAAAAGGGGCCATAAAAAGTCCTCAGGGTCTAAAGGGGCCTTAAGCCGAATTCCATGACTTGGCAGCATAGTCATTCGTTGATTTGGCTCAGAACATTCTTTTTCGAAGGAGTTCGCAATTCCATCGAAAAACCGATTATGCACTTTTGCAGTCCAATGGTAGCTCGCATTTGAAATCTGACTCCAGATTCAAGATCCTGGCCCCCCATAACCTAAAACGAACTGTGATCAAAATTTAAAATGTGAGTGAGAGCAACCCAGGCAGACATGTAAATGCTCAAAGTTGCGTTTAAACGTGTTGGATAGGCGTTTAGAGCGTTGTTAGACGTTAAAACAGATTTTCAATGGAAGTTCTGACTTTTTAAACCGTTTTGCATAAAGTGGAGGCAAAAAGTTTAAGAACGAAAAGGTTTCTTGAATAAATGAATGAACACAGTATACTACTTGACTCTTGTTGCTATTATGTTTCTGGTCGGTACAGTAACCAACTACGCCAGTTTTCTCATTTTCAAACGTCCTAATCTACGTACAGTTGGTGCAGACAATTATCTTCTCATTTTGTCATTGATTAATCAGTGTTCTCTATAAAATAGTTTACATACTTATGAACTCATCAAGCATTATTTCGTCTATAGTTGTGCCTTATATACTTTTTTTTCAACTCGATAGTGACTCACTCGTTGGATCACTATTAAACGTGTCTGCTTTGTGTTGTTTCCCTTCAATGTTCAAACATAAGTCAATGCTGAAATTCTGCTTTATAAAATTGGTGAGATTCTCAGGATATAAGCGACCTTCTTAGTCTGCATGGAAAATCGTGAGTCATTACGCTGTTATTGTACGTCTCACAATATGTAGGAGGAAAATAAAATAAAAATAAAACGTTGTTTATATTTCTCTCAGAACTGAAAAAGAACTCCATTAACAAAAAATATACAAAACAATTAACGGTGTACAATACGTATAAGAGAGGAAAATAAAAAGAAAGAAACACATTTTATTTGACTTCACTTTGGTCACGTCACATTTCTTGTCCTTAACTGTCAGTAACTTACATTTTAAAAGAAAGAAAAATGGCAGTTAAGTACTCTGCCAACAGTAGTATCGCCCCAAAGCAACCTCAGCCACCTACGACGACAATAGCTTCAGACAGACCTGTTCGTCGTTTCTAGAATGTTATAAATTACTCAGCAAACGACACCCTCATTTGGCTAGACAAGAATATCAACGCATCTCAAGAAAACATCGATACACAAGAAAAGCTGCGATCAGCTATTCATGACCTCAAAGTCTTTAATAACTCAGATGAATGTGTTGATTATCTAACAGATATCAAGACTCAGAAGGTTGTACTCATTGTTTCCAAGTCATATGGGCGTCAGATCGTTCATCTTATTCACGATCTGCCACAGTTACAAGCAATATACGTCTATTGTCATGACAAAAAAGCAGCTGGAGAGTGGACGAAGGAGTATGATAAGGTGAGCGTGTGGCATTTCTCCTTCAGAACTGACGCTAACGGTCTTCTACAATTCCTCTTGCGCAAAGACCCTTCTGTGAAGTCAAAAGTGAAGAGTCGTAGTCGTACAACTGCTTACTAGCAAAACTAGCGACGGGTGTTGCGCACATAAGTTTTCCATAGTTTCCTACGTTTAGGTTGAAGTTCATAGCCAGAAGTCTTCGACAGAAAACTTCAAAAACATTTTACTTTCAGATATCTCCTGTCAGGTGTCTTCTGTTTCTCATGACAATGCGCAAGTAGAAGCTTCTCCGTACCCTATAACTGTACCTCCAAAAATGTTCCCAGCTTTAGTTTAAAATAGCTAATTTCGTATATAATTTCGTACAAAAGGCTATTTGGTGGTATACTCGACCAACCTTTCTCTGTCATACACTCAACAAGGCTCTTCGTGAGTCCGACTACGAAGTTCTGTTTGCCTTAAGGTTCTACATCACGCATTTACACCAACAATTATCTGATGAACGTGAGAAATGTTTTCAATCTTACAATGACCTAAACCCTATTCTAAGCGTTTATCGTGGTCAAGCTATCACCATGAAAGAATTAAATTTTATTCGTCAAAATATCGGACAGTTTCTGTCGATGCAAAGCTTTTTGAGTACGAGTGCCGATCGAGCGATGGCTCTTGCATTTCCTGAGGCAAGTGCACCTCCTACAGCTGAAACATCTCGTATTGTCTTTCAGTTTAACATTGACACTCGCCTATCGAATACAAAACCCTATGCTAATATTAAAGGCTTGTCTTTCTTTCGAAATGAAGAGGAGGTACTGATAAGCTTAGGATCAATCTTTCGAATTGAACAGATGGAATATAACCAAGGAGAACAAACATGGATCGGCATTTTGAGTCTTTGTAGCGAAGACGATTATGAATTGAAGGATTTGATGAAACAAATGGAAAAAGAGCTTAGTGGCGGCGGCATTATCGCTCTAGGCCATCTGATGTATAGACAAGGTGATTATGAGAAATCGAGAAATTATTTTCAACAGCTGTTGCTAGACCCCTCAACAAGTGACTTTGACAGAGCTGAGTGTTATCGTGGACTTCGTGCTGTTGCAGTGGTAGTCGAAGAATATGATAAAGCAATAGAGGAGTATGAAAACTCACTTAAAGTATGGAATGAACGTGGCGATCAACAAAGGATAGGAAAGAGTCACATGGCAATTGGTGAAGTTTACTATTTCCAAAACAAGCTTGACGTAGCACTCTCCTATGAACAGAAAGCTCTTGATATTCTTCTACTTTTAAATCATCCTCTGGTATCCGACGTTTATGCTGTTATGGCTAAAATTTATATGGGTAAAACTGAATTTGATTCTGCTATTGAACACTACGAAAAGTCACTTGAAATAGCTCATCAGCATCTTCCAGTCAATGAGCCAAGCTTTGGAGTTACGTATGAGAACATAGGCACAACATATGGAAACAAAGGTGATCACCAACGTGCTCTTGAATATTATGCCAAAGCAAGCGCAGTTTATCAAGTGACACTGCCACCAAATCACCCCTTCTTCTCAGATTTGAAGAACAACATTGATGCAGTAAAAGGAATGCTGAATCAAAATTAAATTCAGAGATATATAACACTTCGCCTCTTGATAAGTCCAAAATAAAGATTAAAAAACGTTCTCTAACAATAAGCTCCGTTTCTCTAGCTCTGGTTATGCTGATAAGTATGTCCCTCAGTACAACGCTTCTCGGTCATCTATTTAGGATTTCTGTTAATACCCTACACCTTGTTTAGAATAAGTCTTGATCTTCCCATACTATCGAGCTCGAGTTGTCTCGATGACCATTTCAGCAGCTTAGGCGTGTTTTCATTGTATAGGTCGGCGAAAACTGAACCAAACAAATACCTGAAACTTCTCTAATTTTTGATTTTTCAACAAAAAATCGTAAGGAAAAACACGACGAAATAAACAAATGCACTGATCAATCGTATCAACGCACTTAAAACGTGCGGAAATGGTTGCACTTCTCTATACCCTTTTAAGTTTCGTAATAACCTTTTTTATTTTTAGAGAGTGGTTTGACTGACGATGATGATGACGAATTATATGAAGGTGGTGCCTGCTAGAGGCTTTTTTTGGCTCGAGTTTGAGATTGTTTTTGTGTGGGAAACAATATAATAATTAGCTTTGGACTTAAAATACGCAAGTGTTCGCAGCAGAGACCAGCGCCAAAAAGCTTATGAAATTCCGCTCAGGTTTTTCGACCAGATCTCGAATCTGGGTCTCGTCCCAAGTGTTTTCTGAAAATTTGAATGTTTTTGGATGACAATTAATTGTCATCCAAAAACATTAGGTTATTAGTTTGATACTGCAAAAAATCCAATCTTTTTGATACGAAGTCAAGTAACTGCAAAAATCAAAAGAGTATTTTAAAAAACGCTCCAATTGAGATTTGAATTTCAACGAAAACTATCAAAAATAGCAAACATTTGTACTACAAAAACGACAATTACACGGTTTTCAAGAAAATTCAAGATTTATGCCGAATATGACCATGAGACTTCCCCATAGCTCTTCGAAGATCCAGTCTTCTGTAAAACCAGTTTTTCAGAAACCCCAAAAGTAACCCAAGCCTTTCTTAAGAATTCAGGATGGTAGCGCACAAATTTTTGATTAAAATGAAACATCTCTCAGCTCTACACGACCTTTCTTTTCAAAGTTATAGAATTTACAAGAAAAGCCCTGAATGTCCATTGTCAGCTCAAATGCTACAGAAATAAGAAATTAATCTAGACCTTTTCTTGTAAATTCTATAACTTTGCAAAGAACGGTTGTGTAGAGCTGGGAGAAGTCTCATTTTAATCAGAAATTTGCGCGCTACAATCATGCCTTATTAAGAAAAGGTTTCAATTATTTTTTAGAGTTCTTCAAAAACTGGTTTTCCAGAAAACCGGGCCTTCAAGAGCCATGGGCACAAACCCTTTTAGGCGTCTTACTACCTCAATATACCCTATCGAATGCCTATGAATGAACGAAACCGGGATGTTACAGTTCAGAAGGTTTTCAGTCAAAATTCTTATTTCAATGTTAACTGGAATTATATCAATAATTACGTCATTATCCAAAGGTTAAACATTTGTTTGGTTTCATAAGAATGGATCATTACTATGTAATGAAGTTATCATTTTTTTAAGAGAATTTTTACACTTATAAACCTTCATAAAGTCTTCATGACAGATGGAAAAAAAGTTAATCTTTCAGTTTGGGATTTTACTCCATTCGCGCCGGTTTTTTTTAGTGAGAAATGTGCCCGTATCTAATGGAAAAATAGTTTTTATTACAGTATCTGAAAAGCTCGTCGTGCGTCTGGAAGGAAAAACAGCTTTCGTAATCGCTAAAAAGCCCGCGAGTCAATGACCTCCGCTCTTTACAATATAATTTTATTAAAAATGTTTCAACGTGTGATAGGCTTCAAAACATGGTACTCATTAGCGCAAAATCGAATTTTTATACGGGAAACAGAATCGGTCCAAATTTTTTTTCTGAAGAGCCTATTATGTGAATCGACGGGCAGCAAAGTATCTCTTGATTCAAATCACTTTTCGCATTTTGGCGCGAATAGTGGCGCCACTTAAAACGCGCAAATGGAAAGAAAAAGAATTTTTTGTACCACTTCAACGATTTGCGGAGAGACTCGGAAAATGACATTTGCATGTCAGATTTATCGGCAAGCCCCCTATTTTCATTGTAGTCTTGGACAGAAATGAGTTTCGCAATTCGACGACCTGTTTGATAATCTACTTTTTCGGTGGTTGTTATCTCTGTCCCATGAATAGTTGAAATTATATGCACATTCCTTTTGTTTTTCCATTTGAGAGCCAGAAGTATGTCATCAATGCAAAGAACAGAGCGAGAGAGAAAAATGACGTCATTCGAACATACTAGAAGGCGAAAACGACCTATGCGATATCATGCGTGTAAACAGAACAAAAGAAAATGTGAATGGAATACGTGTGTGTAAGAGTGCTATACTATGATACTGACGGATGGCAGAACCGGAGGCAAAACGCACAAGTACTACAGATTTAACAAGCTACTGCTTTCAAGTTTTTAAGACAGACGAAACGAAGCGTTAAAAGCATCGCATTTAGAAATGCATATTTAAGGTGCTTCAAACTCAAAATTATAATACTACTTTATTTTTGGCTTAATCATACATCATTCGATAGAGAATTTAACGCTGATCAAGAGTATCTGATCTTTAGTCTTCCCAGTTCACATTAACAGTGAAAAAAATTCAAAAAACTTGAACGATCTTTTCTTTCGAAAAACCATTAACTTTTTTTAGAAACTGAATAACTTGGTTCCGCCTCATTTCGAAGCTGTGAAACTATGTTTTTCTTATTCAGCTCTAAAAATTGCATCTAGAAAACTGTATTTGAAGGTTCAACACCAGAAAATATTTGCTCAGCGCGAAACCGAACCGATAAATCTTCGGTTTCGAGACTCTCATCTTGCAGACCTATCGCAGCTCTTTGATTAAAACATGAAGCCAAGTTTCATACGCCATTCGATTCGCCTTAAAATGTGAAAAAAAAGTATGAATCGCTTTTCTGAAAAATGTTTTTCGTTCTTGAGATATTTGAATTTTATTAAAATTTAGCCGTTTTCGCCGAAAATCGGACAAGTCGTTTTTCGATAACTTTTTCGTTTCTTCACATATATTTTTCAAAACTATACTGTTGGATAGCCCTTGAAATTAGTTACAAATTGTGCTGGTCAGACAATCTAGGTCGGTCGGCCTGGTCATCAGGAACATGCAAAAAACGCGTTGGACGTACGGAAAACGCCTGTGGAACATTTCTTGAGTCATTTTTGACGTGATTGGGCGTGATTTTCACGCCCTTTGTAGCCATTCGTACATCGACTACAGTGGGTGAAAAGGTGTTATAGACAGTCGGGAGATATTGTATTGTGCTCAGAATTCTTTGCTCTATCAGACTATATTGTTTGGAAAATTTTTTGACGTTTCGTTTTCCGTACGTCCAACGCGTTTTTTGCAACAAAATTTAGGCAAAAATCACGTAGACTGTGTCCATGCTATTCAAAACAGTATTCCGATTTGTTTCAGCTTTTACTGAAAAACAAAAAGAGTTCGTGTGATCATGACACAGTGCACTGAATACATAACTTTTTGAGGATAGATTTTCTAGAGTCCCAAGAGATCTCAAAATGCAGAAAAGAGTTGAAAATTTAATTTAAGCCGTTTCCGAGCTATCTACAGTTTTTCGTTGCGAAGATTTTATAGGGACCCCGTCACGGGATCCGGACGGGACTCTCGCGGGACATTTTTCAATTTTGTTTAGATTTTTCGGGATTTTAGTGGTATTCCCGCGGGAGTTTATCAAAAAGTCCCGTGGGACTCCGGCGGGATCTCGACGCGATCTCGTGACGGGAGTTCCGTGGGACTCTCGCGGGACTTTGGCCGGGAGTCTCGACTAGGGTATGATAGGATTATATATGATTCTTATCGTAGGACTAAATGGTATTTTAGATCTGATCCTACAACAAGAAACCATAGTATAAGAATCGTATCCATCCGTACAATATCCTATGGCTATCAGTTTATCTCTTATCACATATGCGATGATGTCGCTTAGATACAGTCTGTATTCATTCACCGTTTTATTTTGTGTGACGCAATGTATATTAGTATCCAGCAGACAAAACAAACATTCTTTTCCAGTAACCTATCGAAGTGCGAACTCGGTAATGCGTCATATACAGAGAAAATCTGTATGACTTGGTCAGTTATATTTACATGTTAATGGGTAACCATAGGTGTAATGGCTCACTTGAAAAAAAGCAGTTGGGAAATACACAAATAGAAATAAACATACAGATACGACTGTATACACAGATACATCCTATGAAATCCTGTAAAAATGGTACGAGATCAACCCAATCCCATGCAGGACCTGATCAGATCATGTTGGATCCTACTCTAGGATCTAATAGGCTCTACTTGTAGACATCCTACGACATTTCCATCACTAAAATTGCCTATCTATTTCCTATATGATCCTGCGGGATTTTCATAGGATCATATCCGATTCCACAAGATCCTGCAATAGGCTCCTATACGATCCAATTAGGATCCGACTGTAAGATCTATTGACCTATCGGAACGAATTAACAGTGGAGCGATGACTGTTCTATAAATAAGAAAATGCATAGCAGTCAATATGATTAACTTTCAAAATCATCTTACCTATTCATCGTCATTAACATTCAAATGTTTAACACACTTGTACTCTTCTTTAGCTTTGGTCAAAAATTGTTTCATCAAGTTTTTATAGTCAACCTAAGTAAACAAATGAATTTATCAAAATTTAGAAATAAAATTTTCTCTACTTCCAAAACTACCTAATTATGAACCAGTATACGTTGTTTTGGATGATTTATTTTCGTAATTTTTTCAAAAATATTCTCTTAAAAATGGTGTTGGATATTCAATTAATATTGCCATGTAAACAATAGACCATTTGTTTACCTTAAAACGATTGTCATAAATTCAAGCGTATGTATCAACTAGCGGAGGTACCCGATGTAGAGTG